AGTGCACATTATACTCATGATTTTACAGCATTTGAAAATGTAGAAAAAGATCCAAAAATATTTAATAAATATATGTTGGTATTCTATTGTTTAAGAGTATGATTAAAACTGTGATTTATCATGATTAATTTTTATCGTGATAATATTTTTAGTTAATCACATAAGTTAATGGTGATGATTCAGCAGCCCTAATATTTTTCCTGGAACATTATACTCATGATTTTACAGCATTTGAAAATGTAGAAAAAGATCCAAAAATATTTAATAAATATATGTTGGTATTCTATTGTTTAAGAGTATGATTAAAACTGTGATTTATCATGATTAATTTTTATCGTGATAATATTTTTAGTTAATCACATAAGTTAATGGTGATGATTCAGCAGCCCTAATATTTTTCCTGGAAAATTCCTGGAAAACATCATGCTGGTACTGCACATGGTTCGGTGGGAGTCTTGCCTTTGCATTTTGCTTATAGGGCTGGCTGAAGGAACCAGGTCACTAATACAATTATTGTAATTGACTTAATCTAGCCCTGAACCTACCTCTAAGCATGTATCCATTTTGTCACAAATGACGGCCCCTGTACAAGAATGGTGGCTTCATTGCCAGTAAAGGTCAGATTTGAAATTGGCAGAGAAAGAAGGGACCTCTCTGATGGGTTGGAAAGGATAAGGCAGATCAGTTCAGGACAAGTATTCTATGTGCCTCTGTGTTTGCATCCCAATGCTGTTGGACCTTTAAGGGCTACCCCACTGTAAATATGCAATGCTTGTTATTTATCATTCCAAATCAAAAGAGACTAACCTAGGTCTGGACAAAATGCATTTGTTGGTTCACGAGGCTGTTCCGTTTTGATCCATATTCTCCTGATAGTCATTCCAACCACGCTCTTAGAATCTCAAACTGAAACTGCCACATTCTCTCTTAATTTATAACTTTAACATTAAGAGAAACTGTAAATCACGCCTATTTTGATGCAAAATCATTATGAATATTAGAGGTAGCATTTATTTATTATTTGTATTACAGTAGTACTGAGAGTATCCAGTAAGGGATCAGAGCCTTGTTGTGCTGTGCTAAAATTGGAAGAAGGAGCAAAGCTCAGACCCAGAAGTTTCATTTGGTTTGGGGTTTATTGATAATGTTTCACACAGCTGGGAGAACTGAATTGTTTTATTGTTCTGTTTGTCTTGCCTACTGTTTATACTGTTTTATGCTGTCTCTCACTGGCTACTCTTCTGAGTGTGTTAACGCTGTTCTTTAATTGTCTGAAATGGTTGCTGCTGAGCAACCTGGTGTGTTTCCTTTTTTTCCAGCCCTAAAATAAAACCTCACACCACTGAAATCATTGGGAGTTTTGCCATTGACTTCACTGAGGCCAGAATTTCAACCCTAGTCCCTGCTGATCCAAGCAGTGCTATCCCAGAGAAATGAAACTCAAGCTGCAATGTGCATCTGACCACCCTCTCAGTAGCTCTATATTAAACCATATTAATGCAGCACAAACATCCTCCTGTCATGTTTCATTTTTATTTGCTCTGCACGCTCAAGGAGAAAATGAAGTTGAATTCTTCACTGCAATGAAAATGTAATGTTTGTTAGAGTTGTAGTAATGCCTTGAAATGTTAATCTGCTTTCTAATGCAGGCAATTGATACAGAATACCAATATTGTTACTATAGTACAGAGGTACTGTGAAGAGTCACTCATTCCTAACCAGAAAAACTTAAAAAACAACAGTCTAGTTATGTAGCGCCTTAAAGACTAACAAACATGTAGATGGTATCATGAGCTTTCGTGGGCAAAACCCACTTCTTCAGATCTGGGTTAGATTCCTAACCAGCATGTTTTGGCAGAATTGAAGGGCATATGCTAAATGTTTTGTAGGTGTTGTTTAAGGGGTGTTTAAACAAATTTTGGGGCAGTAGAAAGCTCAAGAGGACCAAATGGAGCTCTACAATCAGCTCTAAAATTCAGCCTTATATTTTATCTATTCATTCACAACCACATGGTGCAAAATGTCTGACTTCCAAAATGCCTTTAGTAGCTGTAAACTACTAATCTACTAGTGCGTGAGTGAATGTGTGAGAACCTACAGTTTTCTTTTGAGTCTTTAACAAAAGGGTAGAGAATTTGTTGTCTCCTGGCAGTTGCATTTATGCAACTTTTTCAAAATTCCCAATGACAGGAAACAAGAGAGGGTATTTCCCACCATTAGCCAAGAGAGCTCTTGATCTTTCTGAAAAGCAAATGGAGAGAGAAGCAAAGAAAGCAGTGACTATTCTTGGTGAATACAAATGTATGACAATTCTGTCCACAGAAGGCTGTCAAAAGGGGAACTGAAGAGAGACAGGCCAGACTACATGAAAAGAAGCAGTCCCAGCAACAGTGTCACATGAGTGAAAAAGAGAAACTGACTGGAAGAGTCCTCAGAGCTCTTCCTTTGTTTTCATTTCTTATTTGGAGAAGAGCTCTTTTCACCCTTGTATTTATCCCTCCTACTTGTCTTTCCTATTTTAACACTAGAACACTGTGTCACCAAGTGACATTAAGACCTGAAGATTCCTGCTTTAATCAGTACTGCAGTGTAGAGGAACCTGGCAAGATCTGAAATGGGTGGGCTCTCTCGAATGTGGGTGTTTAAAACCATGCTTGTCAAGCTTGATAGCATTGTTTCCAATGTGGTCAATCCAGTGTGGTCTATTCTTTCTCTCTCTTAGAAACTGGGAAGATTGACCAAGATATTTATCAGTACAATACACCAGGATTCACTGGCTGCCTGTCAAGAGTGCAGTTCAACCACATTGCCCCACTCAAGGCAGCTTTAAGACCTACCAACACCTCCTCTCAAGTCCACGTTCAAGGCGAGCTAGTGGAATCCAACTGCGGAGCATCTCCACTGACTATCCCACCAATGTCTGCTGCCACTGACCCCTGGCATTTAGATTCAGGTAAGGTGTAGATTGACTGCAAGGGAACACAATTGAGCCTTTAAAACTAAATGGAAAAATCTACAGTGGATGAACTTTCCAAAGATAGAACAATGGCTACCATGGGGGATACAAAATCAGAACCGAAAAAGTAGGGGATTTAACATTGGCTTTTAAAATGTGACTATGGTGTGGAGGATATTAATGCTGGTCCCCTGTGGTGGGTGGAAATGTATATCTGTGTGTCTCTTTCTCTCTAGCAGCCTTACTTTATCAATTTGTATGAGAAAGAATCAACCCTCCATTACATTTGACATATACATCCCATATAATACACATTTCATAATGTATATTTTTGCAGTTTCTTTGCTTTTTGCATTTTAATGACATTAGACAATGAAAATATAGTGGTCTGTTTCATGGTGGTTTGTAATCCATTTTGCTTTCTGATTCTTATATACCAGCAAAGTACACAGTGAGTCTTTGGCCTCTGAGGCTACGTCTACACTACAGGGGTTTGTTTTTGCACAAAAACCCTCAGAGCGTCCACACCTCAAATGCATTTTTACACAAGTAAATTTACAGTAAATCAAAAGAACAGAGGTTTTTTTGAGGTATTCCTCTTTCTACAAAGAATAACTCCTTTTTGCACAAAAGTTCTTGTGCAAAAAGGTATATGTGGACAGGCAACAGGTTTTTTGCACAAAAAGAGCCAATCGAAAAAAGCACAGGTGCCCTGGTGGCTATTCTGTGTGTAGCAATCAGAGCTTTCTTTCGAGCGAGGATCCATGCAGTCTGGATGTTCTCTTGCACAAAAGCGCATCGCTTTTGCAATGCGCTTTTGTAGAGTGGATGTGCTCTTGAGCAAGAAGTTTTTGCAGAAGATCTCTTCTGCAAAAATCTTTTTGCGCAAGAAGCCTGCAGTGTAGATGTATCCTGAATATTAAATTTCAAAGGCATTTTTGTTCATGTTCTGTTTTGTGGAAATCATGAGCCTAAAATAGTCATTATGGTCCCACTTTCTATGGAATACTGGTTATTTTACATGCAACTGGATGCAAGTGTTGACACACAGGTTGTTCACAGCACTAGTTTGTGCTGATAAATAAACACATTCTCTTGTTCAGCAGCTCCAATTCAAAAAGTATATCTAATTTTAATAGCAAAATGTTTTACCTTTGTAGTCTCTCCTTTCCCTAGGCCATTTTTAATGAGAAATCCCATTAGCCAGGACCATATTCATCTCAGGTTGAAAATGCTGGGAAATCAAAACAATTTGCTGATCCTAGCAGGTTCATCATGCTCTCTGACTGGCTAATACCAACAGCCTTTGAAAGTACACAGTGCTGCTGACTTCAGAATAAGTAGTTTCTTCAGCTTCCTAGGCTTCAGATAAAATATTAAACACATTTGTTTATTCCCTTCCCTTCAGAGTTATGCAATTCAGACCTATACTGACATCTGCCTACTGGTGCAAACCTGATTCAGATTCCACTTACACCAGTATAAATCACAAATTATGCTGTTCAAGTTATTGGAGTTACATGTATGTCAAACCAGTGTTAGTGAGATGAGAATCAGGTTCCCTAGTGTTTTTATACCTAATTCTCTCTCTCTGTCAATTGCTCTGTGGCTTTATCCATCTGTCAATCTTAGTGCCAGCTCAAGGAAAATACATACGAGCTTCGAAGTCCTATAGGCTCAAAAGTATGTGGGGGCTGGGAAATTCCCAGGATCTCTTAGCTAAGTTTACTTTGACTTTTTCTTCTGTCAGGGAAGGAGCATTGTATGAGGCTATATTAACTTCTGAACAGATTTCCCCATGGGTTAGAGAGGAGGGAGGATTCCCCATCCTTCATCCTCCAACATTTTGAATCTCCAATCCAGCCACTGGGTTGTTGGCAGCTTTATGGTAGAGGTATAAGTGTAGAGAGTCTATCACATCTCCATATAGCCAACTTTTTATAACATTTCAGCCCATCTCTTTCCCCTTGTACTGTGTAAGTAGAAACATAAAGCCATTCATTGTTCCTCATAATTTCTCAAATTCTGTTGCTCTTCTTCTCAGAAATCATCCAATCAACAGGTGCCTGAAGATTATGCTGTGTGCCTCCTTTTCAGTCTAGTGTACTTACAAAATCACCCTCCTATGCTTTTAAATAAAAGGTCCCTTTTTTGTGAGGGGCATATGGAAACCTTCCCCCCGCCCTAGTTTAACTTCTTGAAAATAAACTAGAGCAGTTGGACTTGTATAATTAAGAGAATTTTTTCCTATAAAGAAGTTCACTACAAGTGGAGTTTTGACACAGTTGAAGAAGGTCTATATGGGTATTTCTACACAGCAGAGGGTTTTTTTCGGAAAAATGTCCATTTTTCTGAAAAAACTTCACTTACGTTCTCACTGCAATTGCATTCTTTTGGAAAAAAATTGAAAGAACAGAGGGGTTTTTCCAACATTGGTAAACCTTTTTCTACAAGGAAGAAGCCTTTTTCCAAAAGAGTCTTTCGGAAAAAGGCGTGTGTGGACAGGGAAGAGGAAAGAGGAAAAATCACAGGTAGCCACTCTGTCCATAGTAATCATAGCTTAAATGAGGGATAGCGTCCATTCAGTGTGGATGCTGTCTTTCATAAAAGCAGATCGCTTTTTCGATGTGTTTTTGCTGTGTACACGTTCTCTTTCAGAAGAAGTTTTTTCAGAAGATCTCTTCCGGAAAAGCTTCTTCTGAAAGAAGCCTGCAGTCTAGACATAACCTATGGCAAGAGTCCCTCGTTGTCCACTTAGAAGTAATGGCAGGGTTTTTCTTCACACATTCAGTTAGAAGCTGGCATGAAAGGGGGCCTGCCCTCATTCTCTTTGAGGAACATCAGTATTGGCATTGGGATACCAAGATTTCTCCTAATTTCTCTTCCACTGCTGAGTGCAAGTAGTGGGAGAGGTTAAAATCACTCTACACCTCTCTGGTAAATAACTGCTACATACAAAGGGGAGTAATTAAATTAAGCCCTACCAATTATAGTGGAGTGAAACTCCACAGTGATTAGAATGCAGGTTCACAGTGACAGGAGTGAAAGGTCTTTCTGTGATTCCTGACTTACACTTCACTTCACCATGGTGCAGAATGGATACCCTCTCTCTTGGATCCTGTGGACCTCCAGACAGGAACTAGTGTAGTTTCAAGGCCAAAGATGTGAAGTGAGGGAAGGGGGAGGGAGGGTACAGTGACACCCTTCCCCTATCAATGTTAAGTAAGAACAAATTAGTGTTTGTACAGGATCTGTGCTGGTCTACAGAAGCTGGCTGTGTCACTCCAAGAAAAGTCATAGGGTGCGTCTACATTAGCCACCCTAGTTCGGACTAGGATGGCTAATGTAGTCATTCGAACAACAAATGAAGCCCTGGATTTAAATATTCCGGGCTTCATTTGCATGTTCCCAGGTGCCACCATTTTTAAATGTCCCGTAGTTCGAACTACCTGCCCACAGCTACACACAGCACGGACTAGGTAGTTCGAACTAAAGCTCCTTGTTCAAACTACCGTTACTCCTCATTGCAGGAGGAGTAACGGTAGTTCGAATTAGGAGCTTTAGTTCGAACTACTTAGGCCATGCCACTGATTAAGCCCTACAACTTCACTTAGACCAAAGTATTTTAGCCCATGGGAAACCAGACTGTTGTATGCTATTGGCCAAAGAAATGAAGGGCTGAGGTGCACTAGTACTCAAGGAACCTGTAATGGCATGGAAATGATAAGTGAAAGATACTCAGATAATCCTGGCAAGGGACCCACACCACCGCAGTGCAGCAGAAGGCAAAAAATTCCCAAAGTCACCGCCAGTCTGATCATACTGTAGACTTTGGACTCACACGCACGATATTGATGAATGGTACATGAACATTTGTTTTTAATGCCATTTACTTTAGCAAGTTGGTAGTTTAAGATAATTCCCAAACCATCCAAATCTGCATAACGAAGGCATTTCCAGAATGGCGTGGTGGTGGAGAGGGGGCAGATACATGAAAAATTAGAGGTATTAAGTAAGGCTGCCCCTTCATTCCAGAACTGGAAGATGTATTTCAATTCCTAGTGTAAATTTTCTGAGGCACTAATTACAAAGAAGGACAATGCCAATGGCCCTTTAAAAGTCGCAGATTTAACTCTCACCGTACTACCAGAAAAGGTGGTTGGAATCTAGTCAGCCTCCAGCCTCTCACATTGAAATGGCTGCAAAGAATATGTCTTGTAATGTAAGTGAACAATAACTACCTCTGTGATTGCTAGGTACAGGAGCTCTGCCTTTAGTCAGATCTGTTCAGATGTATTATGATTTCACCCACACCGTTTAGTTGCACTTCAGATACAACTATGTCAAAACCTTGGTGCTGGATGACTGAGGCAAAAATTTTCTAACATGGATCCCCAAAGTTAAACTCATAAATCCATATATAGGTCCCTAAATCAGTAGCATAATTACCAGAAGTGTACACAGTTCCCATTTAAATAAAGTGACTGTACATCTATATTGTTGTTAGACTTTTGGTAAGAGCTATCCAGTAAAAGAATAGATCATATTAGTAAGTTATCTGTGCTAAAATAGATGTGTCAAAAATAATTTAATATTGATGAACAGTGCACAAACGAGCTCCCTTTCTGCATGTATGTCCCACCAGTGCTGCAGGAATTGTGCTACAGGTTGAAGCGCTCTAGTCCAGAACTCCCTGATCTAGAAACATCTGTCATCTGGAATGATTTTAGTTAGTCAGATGTCCAATTTTCATGGGTGTGGCCAAGTTTCCCACAGTCTCATAGAGTTTGTTTGCAGTCACCAGCCCTAGCTCTCAGTGTTCTGTGCTGTTATTTAGCTCTAATTTACCCCTAAATGTCCTCTAACCAGCCCAGTAAGCAGTGCAAGTGTTGGTAATACTGCTAGACAATATTGACTTCCCAAGGACTGGAAAATTCTCTGGTTTGGAACTGGTCAGGTCTCGAAGGAGCTGGAGTAGCAAGGTTCAACCTGTGCTT